AAAGAGAAAAAAGTGTCCTACTATTAATAATTATCATACGTATCATATATATATATTTGTTTTTTAAGTAGGCTCCATACCCAGCTTGGAGCCCAATGCGGGGCTCAAACTCACGACCCTGAGATCAAGACCTGAGCGGAGATCAGAGTTGGACGCTCAGCTGACTGAGCCACCCTGGTGCCCCTCACAAATATATTTTTAAAAATTGATCTGAGTGTTTCACCAAAGCCAAAAAACAAGCCAAATCCAAAAGCAACAACAATGAAACAAGCTTAAGCCACATATATCTATCCTGAAAACCACAATTTAGTATGTCCAACTAAGTAGGAAAAAACTGACTGCAAAAAATTCATGGCTGCCTTGTCTGAGTGAGGGCAGAGCATGGAGTTGTGAAAGAAAGAAGGAAACATTGTATTTAAATTTGAAATTCGGTTTTGGGTTTTGGGCTCCTGGTTTGGCTTCTGTGGAGTTTAGGCTTGAATTTTAGTTAATGTGCTAATTTAAAGTGGGTCAAATAATCTTGCCCCAAAGTAGAAATATTTCTGGCCACTCTATTTTTGTAAACACTATTTATTCATGTGTATTTGTTCATTCATATGTACACTTCAGTTTATTTAACATTGAGATTTGTCCCTATAAGGTACTTACCTAGGACTGCTACAGTTTAAAAAAGAACCAATATTTATTGAGTGTTTAAAATGTACCAGGGGGGCGCCTGGTCGTTAAGCGTCTGCCTTCAGCTCAGGTCATGATCCCAGGGTCCTGGGATTGAGCCCCGCATCGGGCTCCCTGCTCCTTGAGAAGCCTGCTTCTTTCTCTCCCACTCCCCCTGCTTGTGTTCCCTCTCTCGCTGTGTCTCTCTGTCAAATAAATAAATAAAATCTTAAAAAAAAATAGATAAATAAATAGAATGCACCAGGAACTATTCTAAGTGCTTCATGTAGATTACTTCATTTAACTCTTCCGCAGGCCAGTTCTAGGAGTTCAGCATTACTGTTATTCCCATTTTATGGACTGGAAACTGAGGCAAGGGGTTACCCAGCTGAGCTTCTCGCCCAGGCAGCCTGATTTCAGAGCCTGCACATTTAACCATTCACTTCTCTCCTAGAACCTTCCAAGTAAACAGAGTAAACTGCCTTAGTCCAACCTTTCGGTTCTCCTCATACAACCATCATCCTGTGACTGGTTACTGAGTGTGGCTCATGTACAGGAATGGAGCTAGAATGGACGCCCAAGTGTGTCACTCGGTGGATAAGGGCAACTGCAGACCTGGGTGTGAGAATCAGCTCTACCTTTCTGGCTGTGAACCTGAGCAGGCTACGTAAGCCGTTCATGCCACAGTATCCTCATCTACGAGGACAGTAATGACACCTCAGAGAGTGAGGATGAAAGCAATAAAAAATTATGGAGCAGAGTGTGGCACACAAATACCACTATTTTCATATAGCCCCTGCTCTGGAGAAACTGGCATTCCTTCCTGGAAGGAAGAAAATCATATAAATAATTACAGACAAGTATAGAAAGTTCTATAAAAGACAGTTATGTTGGGAGCACCTTGGGTGCTCAGTTGGTTGAGCGTCTGACCTTTGGTCTCGGCTCAGGTCATGATCTCAGGGTCGTGAGATTGAGCCCCACGTTGGGCTCTGCGCTCAGTGGGGAGTCTGCTTGAGATTCTCTCCCTCCCTCTCCCTGTGCCCTGCCCCCCACTCCCATGCAAGCACATGTGCTCTCTCTCTCAAATAAATAAATCTTTAAAAAAAAAAAAAAAAGAATTACGTTGGAGCCCGGGGGGCAGGGGTACTGAGAGATGTAATGAGGAGAGAATGAGGAAATGAGGAGTTAAGGTGAAGAGAGGTTTCTAATTAAAGCTGAGCCCTAGACCTAAAGTTTCAAAAGTTTATTTTGTATATTGTGCTTCATGCAAATGCAGACGCTTTGTCATCTGCAGACTCAATCACATTTATTGAGTACCTTTTATGTGCCAGGCACTGCAGGAGGACAGTCTCACCTGCTCTCTATCATTTAGTGTTTACAACACTCTGAGGGTCAGTGCAGTTGGTTTTGACGAGAGCTCAGTATTTTTCCACATCTGAGTAGGGGTAATCGTTGTCGCTCAGATGACGGGTGGTCTCCCTGCAAGGCCCTGCATGGCCCCTAGACAAATCTGTATTCGGGTGACCCTAAAAGTCACGGTGCAAAACAAGGACTTAATACACTGTGAATTAGAAGAAATTAATGTGAATTTTTACACCTGACGAAGCATAGGTTTTACATGTCTTTTTCTCATTGCTTCTAGCTCTAATCTTTCTCTCGCCCTCCAAACATCTAAGGACCATTTTGCGATCCTAAACTTACTTGTGTTTCCCATCTGGAACTGAAGGCCTGCTTCTGCCCTTGCTTCCCCCCCGCAGTTAACAGAGTGCCTAACCTGGTTTTCCAAGAGAGAAATGTGGGGGGGTTGCTTTCGACTGAGCCACCAAGTCCTCTGTGTGGGCACTTCCTAAATGGCTCCTTTCTCTTTCTGCAGGCTCACTGCTTGTGTAGACCCTCCCACACCCGACCCACTGTAACTGTCTTCCTCCTGGTCTCTTTGTCTCTACTTTCTTCTCTCCATCTCTCTACCATCCACAAGGCAATGCCACTTGCCACTCTGTTAAGACACAAGTATGATCATTCCTCTACTTGAAACTTGCAATGGCTCCCTAGTGTCCACAGATGAAGGTCAAGGGCATCAGCACGGCATATTTGGGCTTCCACTACCTGGCCCCATCCTACCTTTGTATCATCATCAGCTACCAATGCTGGCCAGACGGCTGTTCCAGTGGCCTTGGACCACTTGCCCAGTCCTACAGCTTTGGACCTAATCCTCCCAATGCTGGGTACTTCCCAGGGCCCATCTTCAAATACACAAGTGCAGAATTCCCATCCACTTATATGTATCCAGTTATATTACATTTTCTCAAATCCATTTTATAGAACAATTCCTACAAGATTATTATAATATTTCCTGTTTTCTCCTCTGGACTTCCACCAAATTTTAAAAGGACTGTGGCTAAGAAATAATAAAGAATAGAAGGGCACCTAAATTTGGATGCCTTTGCACTGACGGTTCCATCACCTAAGGGAGTCAATCCACACACCCCTCCTTCCCTGCCCAGGGACCTTGGAAGCGGGCTCATTAATGCCAGTGAGCACTACGTGTGGACACAACTGCCTCACCCAACGAAGGGGTTCATTGCACAGCCCTCTAGGTGTGGTTACAGTTTCTGTTGAACAGGTAAATCAAATGGCATATCAGCTGGATAAGGTAAAGATAATTATCTCTATTTTTTGCTTTTAGAAGCACGTTATTCTTCGGTCAAAGATAATCAGCACCTAACTGAGTTTTCATGGACAATTCTGAATGTGCTTTGTTACATTTAACAGCTCTTGTTAGCAAAAATAATCATGAATAAAAAGCAATTTATTTTTATTTGGCATATAAACAAAATTATAATGCTGATATCAGTAAAATTCTACTCTGTTTTATTAATGTACATAAGGCCTTTATCAGATCTTCCTCAGTTTAATTCTGAAGTATATTTGGAGTTTAAAAATAAAGAAAGGAGAAAGTTCAGTTATCAGCACTAGAGTGACCCATTTAGGAGATGATTTACACAATTCATATGATTGCTCCTGATACATTAATGTCTATCAGAAAAGAACCCTTAGAAAGTTCAAGACAAATATAAAAGTATTATGAAAACTACGTAAGATTGAATGTACTTTGTGTTGTGGAATAATTCACCTCTGTTTCCAAATATGTGATCTACCTGGGTTTTGAAACCGGGGCCTTAGTTGCAATAAGCATATGATGTAATCAAGTCAGCGGACTGGCCTGGGGTAGAACATTATCATCATTAATGATTTTTTTAAAATTAAGTTTTCAGTCGAGAAGAACTGCTTCCTAATTTTAGCATGTGTTCAAAGGTAAAAAAACCAAGAAAACCCTTTCACACTAAGGACTGGATAAAAGTTCAAATGACTTTCTAGCCTAAAAAAGTCGCCTCCCTTTGGTAAAGACCCAACATGGATACATGCTAGCAAACTGCCTTTCTGCAATTTGAAAGGGAACACTTTTTTTAAAAAATAGCAATTATTTTTCATTTAAAGTTTAAAAGGTAGGGCCAAACTCCAATCCCATATAGGCCTGTGGGTGTTCTCAGCAGGATTCTCATCCTATGCAAACTGATAATAATAGATCACTCACTCCTGTTTATTTTAAGAACTCCCCCAACAAGAGGGGTTCGCATCAATGTACTTAGATAAAGATATTGTAAATAGAGTACGCAGTTACAAAGATAGCATATTCTTAAAGATATCAGTTTATAATCATATGGCTATAAAATGGCTAGTTGGATGGGTATCTTAGATGTCATCCAACATCTGGGACTGCAACAACTTTCTAGCTATGATATTAAAATAGAAAAACCGTTGCAGAGCATTAACCTATCATTACACAGAGTACATGGCATGGCACTGCAACCTAATTGCAGTGTGGCTTGCATCTATAAAATCGATTTAGCACTACTGCTCTTTTTTTATTATTAGTTTGTGTTTCTAGAAAGGTGTGACCTTATCTGTAAGGTTCTGTTCATTTATGCCCATTTACAAAGGATTTAATTACGTTCTTTTAGCTCTCTATGCTGAGGACATTGAAAATGGCCACTTCAGAATTAAAACTGTTAAAGAAACTAGTGAGCAGATTATTTACTCCATCACCCTTCTTCGTGCAGGGATAAAGAATGGAGGCACATTCAAATAAAGGTAGAAGATTTTGGGAAGTGAAAATTCTAGGCAAGGAAATTATTAATGGTCTTCCTTTCCTCATTCTCACATGTCTTTTGCAAGTTCCCCTAGTGTTCGTGGGAGGAACGAGCTAAGGGGAAAGTGTATTAGTGCTATAAAACTCCTGCAAGTGACGTCAGTTTCGTGTCAGTAGCCAGAGAACATGGACTTACATCGGAGGCAGGCGAATCCAGGACGATGCCGAATCCCAGCACGCGGTTCTCCCCGGCCGAGGGGGCCTCGGCCTCCTGGGAGCCAGGCTGCTCTGAGGCCCCGGCTGTCTTCTTCTCCGTTTCTAACACGCCAGGCTTCTGCCTCACAGTCAGAGGTTCAACAGTCTTTGGGGGCACTTTTTTCTTTTTATTTCTCTTGCGTGAGACAGCAGTTCGCTGGGAGCATATAAGGGAAATCGGGGGTTGTTGTCTGTTTGGGGTTCCAACTGTGAAAAATGAACAAAAATAGAGTACAGGCATCTGAGTCGAACTTGGGAGAAGTTATCACCCGTCCACCTACATGTTCCACAAGCTGAGACCGAAATGGGCTTCAGTCAAGGAAGGAGACCAAAGTCAATCTCCTGTGGGACCCGTAGGACACCAAATGTCGTCTCTGGAGTGCTTTCGAGTTCTACATGCAGAAGAGCGACCCAGAGAAAACTCTGTCCCCGATGCTGGTAAATCATCACACTTACTGCTACCACTGGGTTCTGTGGAAGAAAGCGATTTTGAGCCACAGAAGAACATCTGAGCGTCTTCTTACAAGTCGCAGGACATTTTTATATAAACGGGAACTCAGAACTTAAGTTCAGGTGTAGCTGTCCGTGCTTCCTGGTAAGCCAAACTCAGGAATATTCTAATCATCCTTTGAGGGTAAGCTGATCAGCTGCTGGCAAGCTACAGGCACCAAAATGGACTAAGACTGAGCAATGATGATCATTTTTTAAAGAATCAGTCTGGAATGACTAGCACACCCGTGGGCAAAGCCTGCTGCTCATTTATCAGGGCCAGTTACTCCTTCCTCACAAACCCATATTGTCCACGCACAAACCATCTCCACAGCACTGCACTCAGTACTGCATTCTGACCAGGCTGTCCTCCATACCTTGGTTTTAGGTAGCTGAAAAATAGGAATGACATAGTTCTGTGCAAGTCAAGAAGACCAGCAAAATCCGGAAACAGGTGGAGTTCCAAAGATGAAAAGCACTGAACAAAGATCAAGTATCAGTACTGAATCTACACGTAAGGAAATCAAGGATAGTAAGTATAGTTTTCACAGATGTACTTTGGCAAGTCATGTTTGTTAACCATTTAGAAATATTCTGATGGAAAGTGTTAGAGAAAAATATGGCATCATTATTTAAATCTTCATGTTTCAATATGGCTTACTAAATATGATCATTGGATATGCCTGCTTTTTTATAGAAAGAAGCCAAATGAAAACTAAAGATCTTTAAATGCATATAAATATGGATCATTTCCTATCAGTTTGCAAATAAAGGATATTTATACTTTGAACTTGGTATTTGCATCTCTAGACTGGCAAGAAATTTACAAGTATTAGAAATGAACTACTTGGGGCGCCTGGCTGGCTCAGCTGGAGGAGCATGTGACTCTTGATCTTGGGGTTGTAAATTCGAGCCCCACGTTGGGTGCAGAGATTACTTAAAAAAAAAAAAAAAGAAAACAACTCCTTGCACTGCATAGGAGCACTGAAAAGGTTTTTAACCACCTGTGCAGTATTAGTCCAATTTATTGGTGCTTGACCTTGGCTGCACGTTAGAATCACCCGGGAGCTTTTAAAAAAAAAAGTCCGTGCCTCAGCCTTACCCCAGACTAACTGAATTGGAATTTGTAGGGGTGGCGCCCAGGCATTGAGATCTTTTTCAAAGCTCCTCAAGTGATTCCAGTGTACAAGCCTGAGTGGAGAATTTTTCTTCTTCTCTGGATCTTCACACAAGGCCAGGTCTCCACGCCCAAAGTCAAACAGACAAGGGAAGCAGTTTTCAATGGTCTAGGACTCACGCCTCTCCAAGCTTTGCTATTCTAAAGTAAAAGTGAAAATGCTTTGGGTTTAAAGAACACAGGGACTATCTGACTTTTTCTCCTCCATTGGCAAGTCTAGACACAGCAGTCCTCTCTTGCTTCCAGATCTTATGGCTTCATCGTATTCCTTGTCTTCTTCCTCAAGTAAAGGTGAAACTTTCTAAATATAATTTAAATCTACATGTTATAGGCAATAAGCCTTAAGTCAATCTACCCACACAACACAGATTCTTAAGTTTAAGGAAATTAAAGAAGAGTAATTTTTTTGGTTTATCCTTTCTGCTCTCCTACAAACTGGAATCATTTACCGCCCTAATCTGCAAAGGTTCAGAAAAGAAAACACGGTGACAAAGTGGCATTTACTTAATAGATTCCAAAAGGGCTTCAGTAAAGGATTTAAATGGTTGCAATTTGTAGTTTGCCATTTCGGTAGTAAGGAGCTTAAGTAACAAAATAAATCATTAGAATTTCATATGCATATTTTCTTAAGTGCTAACAAATTCTTCCTCCAGGAAAAGAATCTGTACATCATGAAGGAGACTTTCTTTCTGTGCTCCTCATTTAAGAGATGTTAACTTTTGCCAGGTCAATAAGAACATGGGTTGTTGTGGTGGAACAAGATGAGTGAACGCTTACTGGCCTCACCAAAATGCTTATTGTTTCCTTGGGCTAAAACCAAATTCAGCACATACAATTAGATGTTGCTTTTCAGAGGGCCTTTTGTTCACCTTCCTTTCCTGCGCTCTTGGGTGACGGTGTGTTTACGTATTAAGCTTTTTATATCAAAACCACATCACTGTATATTGCAATTTTGCTAGAATTCACTAAATGGCACCAAGTACAATTTCTGAACGATGACCTTCCTGAATCTCTTTACAGTGCAGGAATGGGAATGCTGGCCACATATGACTATGCTATTTCCTGCTCAAGGAGCAGTCTTCCCTCACCAGAGGAGGCCTTAATGAAATGATTTATTACTTTCTGGATCTGTGACCAAAAAGTTGCATTTTTGAGTTGAGATTAGACACCATACTCGCTGTGGTGGTGACCCAGACTTCTATGAACCCGCTCCTGGTCTTTAGAACAACACTAACGAAATAGTTTCTGCCTGTATCATGCTTGACAGAGTTCATTTACATTTACTAACTCATTCTATTTTGAAAACCATCCTGTGAGTTAGATATTAATGCTCCAGCTCCAGATGAGAAATCTGAGCACAGAGAAGTCACACAGCCTCATGAGGACAACAGGGACACTGACCCCAAGCTGCAGACTCACGGCTCTTCCATCCTTCCACTTGACTAACACGAGTGAGAACAAAAGAGGCGTCATGTAACTAAGGAAGACAGGACACGAGGTGTCTTTGGGCTTCTATATGCTGAATATTAGGGAAACAAGCCGCAAGCAAGGCCTAAGAGGCAGCACCTCATGTGCTTACGCTCTGGAAAGTCTTCACCAGGACAGCCCACGCTCCCGAGAGGGCCCTGCAGACCTGTACGACAATGCGCAGCTTCCCTACCGTCACGCTGCGCCCCACAAGGGGCAGGGACGGGCGTAGGGGTTGTTGACATGCATGCAGCCCCCAAACGGAGCACCTCAGGAGGTAAGAGGAGTCAGCCACACTTCTGTGGCTCGCGCACACGAGTGTATGAGTAGTAGTATCAGCAATGAGAAACCTGTTAGATTTGCTAAAGGAAAAACATGTTGAAAAAGCACAGCGAGACAGCAAGGTGAGAAGAACCAAATACCAAGAGCACAATAAACGACCCAATTGAAGAGGTCAAAGGCATTAAAAGTCAGGGGCCTGGTGTCAGTACCTGCTTGAATTTGCATTAATTTCCGCATGGTCCTGAGTTCTTGGAGGATGGCTTGCAACGTTGACTGGCAGTTGCAAGTACAGCAGTTGGATCCAACGGACGAATTCACGGCGGGAAGTTCTCCTAAGCATCAAAGAAAAGAATGGCACACTCCAAATGTCAACAACAAAATTATAAAGGGGGTGGGGGGGAAAGGAAGGTATCCTGACAGCATTTTGAAGCACGTGCGGTTATTATGAAACAGTGCCTAAGGAAAATGTACCCGATATCTGTTACCACCTGAATGTTGGGGGCCGACTTGATCTAATTATCCAGGCTTCTGCGCCATAAGGTGCATGTGTCTCGCGGGATGCTGGAGCCCGCACGGACGTGTGCCCACGTTCACGGTCACAGCAGGCCTCCCTAGTGTCACACCAGTGCATCTCAGGTGACAGCACCATAAAAATTCACTAGAAACATACACTCTTGCAGAAAAACACGAACTCTGAGAAGAATGGCCTTCTAGAAAAACCCGGTAGCTGCACGTTCTAAAATCTCACGTTAAAAATCAATGTGTCTAACTATTAAAAAAATAGTTTTTCTAGTATTTCCCCAAATTAAGAACTGTCAAGACATTAAAACTTTTAGAACACTGTGGGAGTGGGACGTCTGGGGCGGGGAAGAGCCGGGGGGGCAGAGTGTACGTGGGAGGCTATATTCGGTGCTGGCTTTTCTCCACCTTAGTGAAGGAGACCCTCACACCTCTTTTCCCCCTCCCCATGTCTTACGTTTCCCTCGCTTTAGCCTCCTTACCTCTGTTTCAATTTAGTATCTTTTTCTTAGTAAAACCATCCTATTAAACATAGGTTGTCCCCGTGTCCTTGGGATACAGTGGAACATTTGGAAAATCCCTCTCCCTGCAGCGTTCCCTCTGGCGTCTGTGTCCAACCCGACCACTGGGAACTGGAATGTGCTGTCACTCAGGGTGTCCCCAGGCACAAGGGGAAAGTTCGAAGGCATGGATCCAATTGCATCTTTTGTTATACATTAAGTGTAATTTTAATTCCACAGTATGCACTGTTTGTGGATAATATAAAACACTTCACCACGGCAAAATCACAAAATACATACGGACAACTTAATGCTTGGAGTAGCGTAATTATTTACACTCAAAGTTGCAGCAAACTGAGATGTTACAACTTTTAAAACTGCAAATAATTTCAATGAAATTCGAAGTAGTCACAGTTGTATATGATGAATTTCTACTGAAAATAAGCAAACAATAAACACAAAAAATCTGTTTTCAAACCAATATGGGGGAATTTATGTTTGTAACTTTTAACGTTAATAACATTTTCCCGAGTAAATCCACCATCCTTGTTGCATCCTGGAAAACAGAATGCTCTTCACCCAAAACTTATTGATGTGGGGTGAATTAACTTCATACACACCTGAGGGTGTCCTATTTCTCTTACCGTTTCTTCCATGGCAGTCGAATTAGGAGGGCCTTAAAGAATATTCCTAGTCAGTATTCTAAGTACTGTCTTTGTCATTTTTAGAGGACAAAACCAACCCTTTCCAACTTGTTATAAATCATTTTCTAATTTTAAGGAGAACTGACTTCTCATTTTTATGGAGGAGTCTTTAAAGAGCCATGTCCCCCTAACCTGGAAGCATGCCAGCACACGAATGTGATCTGGCTTATGCAATATTGAGAGAAAGAGAAGACTCCCGTACGTCTCTTGGGGTCCCTCCTGTCTCATCAGCAGTGTCTCGGGATGGCTTTTCATGCCTCTGAACTGGTTATTGCAAATTGTGTTAAAAAAAAATCAAAACAGTTCTCTTCTTCTTGAAGGAATAATGAATGGAAAAAGAAAATCCTTAACTTTTCAAGGAAACTGAAAATGCAGTCTTGCTTTTTCTTGTTCTCTTTCTGAAAACTACAGATCTGCACATCCATATAACATTTATGGGACAACTAACATCCAAGGTGACTTGATGGTAAGTTAACATGTCCAGAAAAAAATTATCAATTTTTTTTAAGCTTTGAAAAAAAAATTACCTTTTAATTTTCTTTTCTGAACAGTTAGGAATTTAAATTAAGGAAATTTTACTCTAAAGGGATAGTTTTCAGCCCTAATGAAGGAAGCCCTACAACAAGGATCATCTGCTGCAGTTACTGGAATGTCCCATAAAAGCAAAGGTGTCACTAGGATGCTGGGATATGTGTCTCCCCACCCTGCCCCCCGTTCACCACAACCCTTGTGATCATAAAGAAAAGCAAAAAAGCAAGCAAGAGGATGTATTAATGATACCCATCTGACCAGAAGCTCCCTTTGATGACAAAGGGGAGCTCCTTCCGATGACAAAAGTATCGGTGTGTTGGCAAATGATAGCTTTTTTTTTTTTTTAAAGATTTTATTTATTTATTTGAGAGAGAGAGAGCACATGAGAGGGGGGAGGGTCAGAGGGAGAAGCAGACTCCCCGCCGAGCAGGGAGCCCGATGCGGGACTGGATCCCGGGACTCCAGGATCATGACCTGAGCCGAAGGCAGTCACCTAACCGACTGAGCCACCCAGGCGCCCGGCAAATGATAGCTTTCACTTCCTAAAGGGCTAAAATCCCTCTAAGAAATTGTGATTTCTAATATAGAGCCTTACTCTTGCTTCTCAATTCTGGTTTTTATACTCTTTGTGTTGCTCAGCCAAGGCAGGGGACTAGGGGAGGGTTTAATGTTTGGGTTTGAACTCAAAACCATGGTGAACACTTAGAAGTAAAACACATTTGGACACCCCCCCACCCCCACCCCCACGAGCATTCTCAGTGTCTCATCATGACCATACCGTTGGAGCTCCCAGTGCTGTGGGGCTGACTCTGGAAGGTTCTGGAGCGGGTGCCATACTGCCCTGAGAATTGCCCGCTGGGGGTTGGTAACTCATTCCACGCACCACGTGAAGAAGGGTGGAGGCTCTGTGGGGCCTCAGCAGAGGAGTTCAAACGTGGAGGCCAGACTGAATCCAAATCCTGGGGTTCTTCCTTTAATTTTTCTCCTTCTTTGCCCACACGTTGATAGATCCTCCCAGTGCTGTCATTCAGTAATCTTCTCATTCCTGTGATTTGTTTTTTAATTTCCATGCTTTCATCTCCTAATGGAAACAGGGCCAAAGAGATCACTGTGCATGAGCAGAAGAAAAAATAATCCACCGCCAAAAAACACACCCCTTCTTTGGAAATGGGAAAGATTCCTGAGTCCAAATGCAAGCTTTCAGAAACTTAAGTAATCTATAAAAATTAAAGGCAAGAAAACTGGCTATGGTCTGAAGAAACCCATCATATTCCTGGTGCATCTCATTTTAACTTTCTTTCTGGCTAAATTCTCTTAGGATAAAAGAACTTTCCTGAGCGGGTTTCATCTCTTAAGGTGTGAAGAACACACCTTAAATTCCCTCTGAGTGAGGGTGTCCTAAGAAAATGAGCTGAGGCAAAAGACCCCCCCATGATGGGACTACAGGGCCGAAAGCCTGGGCTTGGATCTGCCGCAGACGTTCACTTGGGATGGACGTGGAGGCCAGCCAGCCTGCTCACCAACCTGGCCGGCAGATGCAAGTACCAGGAAGAACATGTGGCATGGGTGGGATGTAGAGCTTTCTGAGGATGGGCTGCTGGCACAGGAGACACCTCAGTATGACACTGTTGGTGGAGGCATCAACTTCAGAAATGACAGTGTAGGAGCAGAGAGACATCCAAGGCGGTGGAGGAGAGGGCTTTGTCTTTCTCCAGCCTTGACTCATGGGGGAGATGTCCCTGCAACTATGCATCCCTGGAACTGCCCAGACCAAAGCCACTGCCATCTCAACCTTGTAACTACATGCATTCTTTTTTTTTTTCAATTATGGTTAAAAAACACATAATATTAAATTTACCATCTTAATCGTTTTTTAAAAAAGGTTTATTTGAGAGAGAGAGCGCATGCACACACACACTTGAGCAAGTGGGGGGAGGGGCAGAGGGAGAGACTCTTCAAGCAGACTCCCCACTGAGTGGGCAGCCTGATGAAGGGCTTGATCTCACGACCCTGAGATCATGACCTGAACCAAAGCCAAGAGTTAGACGCTTAACCAACTGAGCCACTAGGCACCTCACCATCTTAATCATTTTTAAGTGCACAGTTCAGTTAATGATATTTGCATTGTTGTGCAACAGATCTCCAGAACCTTTACAATGACTTTAAGATTCCTTTTCCCTAAGGGGATTTTGTTTTTGAACTAAAGTATCTCTGTACTGCACTGGGAGTACTTAATAAATATTACTTAAAGAAAACTCTAAAATTATACAGATATAAAATATTTTCCATAAATAATAACATTAGAGGATGCTATTAGGAGCTATTTTGAACATCCTATCTTTTTACACTGTGCATCAGCTGGTGTCTTCCCAAAGATTGAGAGAAGTGGATTTTTTTTCCTCTAACCTGGGTGTTAAAGTGAAAGTGTTTTGCCAGAATTTTTTTCTCTCTAATCTCGGTGTTAAAATAAAAGTCACACCATTAAATGCTTGAAATTTAAACTATGATAAAAAGAAAAGGCCTACAGAACGTATCTATCAGGAAAAGCACAGCTCCTGCAAATAAATACAGCACATTTAATATAATGATGTTTTAATGCACTTAGCATCGTACAAAGCCAGATTTCTCTGTAGAATTGGTAACTGTATAATGAATCTAGGTATTTTGTGTTGCCCAGCTAGATATTTAGCTAATTAATACATGGATATATTATTGAAGATAAGGAAACTTTCATATACTGCTTTGAAATAAGTATCTCCAATATTTAAAAAGGTAATAAAAATATTACTTCTGCCTTTAATATCTCACACGGGTGAACACAAATGACACAGATTTCCAACTTTACAATATTGTTATATGTTGGTATCTGCCTGAGAGGAGAAATACTTTCATTCGTAATGAAACTATTTTTACATCAAACACCTGTGAAAATGACAACACAGATACAGTAAGTGATAGTCCAGATTTTATGAGAATGAATGACTAAGCACGATTTAAATAACGCAGAGCCAGCAAAATCGACGACCTCCTCAGGAGGTCTACCGCATGGGCTGTGTCTGGAAGCGCTCGGGGAGGGATCCCGAAGCTGCATGCAAACGTGCTGTCAGTTTCAGCACCCAAACATACACTTTCCCGGCTGGGGAACAGCCCAGTCTGGGCAAGAAGCTTCTTTCCTGTGGGGTTTTCATCCTCCATGTTCTCCCTGTGGGAAGCTGTGCACGCATCAGAGGCTGCAGCGCGCTGATCTCAGCGGGCACGGCTGGTGGCTGCCACGTCCCCTCCACTGGGCGCCCGCTCGGCCGCCTTCAGCCTGCTTCTCCAGCCAGTGCCAACCCACTTCTCCACACGGACCCTGACACCTCCAGCTAAAGGCTCCCCCTCTGTTCTGGAGATCGAGCTCTACGATAAAGGGCTGGCTTCAGGGGGAGAGAAAGAAAGTCACAGGATTCGGGAACCTGCTAAAAGCAAATGTGCTTTGTCACGACCTGAGTCTCTTAGTTCTGAAAATTACCAGAATGAACAGGCCACTTGAGTTTCACATGCTTTCTGTGTTTGTGTGGAGGACCAGCATCCGACCTGAATCCAGAAGAGGAGGTGAGAGTATAAAGGGAGCCTCTGGTTGGGGGTCATCCCAGCAATGTTTAGAAACATTTCTTCCAAAGTCAAAACAAAAACCCACCAAACTACAACAAATGAGGACCCGGTGGGGCCCGAGGAAGGAGGATAGCCGGGGCCACGGCAGCCCCGACGGGCTTCACTCAGAAGACCATGCACAGTCTATCTGCCTGTGAGGGATCTCAAAGGACAGAAGACAGAGAACTGCAGAAGTCAGAGCTGTAGGAGTCAATGAGGGAAAATCAAAGGGCAAGGCTGAGGAAGGCTGATCTCAGAAAGCTCCTCAGAAGAGACAGGCCGGGCGTCCCTAGATGACAACCAGACGGATGTGTGCAAATGGTGTCAGGGTAACTGAACTGTCCTTCCTTTGGCCAGAGAAGCCGGGGGCAGCCCTGAAAATGCCACCTGGGAAGAAGTCCTGGAGCCCCGCTACACATGCAGGCGATGGGGGTCTTGGGCAGAGGGAGGGGAAACGCTGCCTTGCCCGGTGGGGGCAGAGGGGACAGAGTATCAGAAATGAGAGCTGGAGACCAAAAGCAGGGATGACAAAAGCATCCGAATGAACAGACATAAACTGGGATGGAGTGGGTGCCGAATGCAGCAAGCAGGGTGAGCGGCGGAGGGTGGGCGGAGGCTCGGCCAGCAGGTGCTGGTGTGGTTCTGTGGACAGGCCCGCACTGGACCCCCTTCCCAACTGTGCTATCGTCCAACTCCCAGACTTCAGCTTCCTGAATCATACACTGAAGGTCTGAGCCAGGGGCACACAGACGCAGCTGCAGAGGGATGCTGGTTTACAAGAGGTTAACAGAGTGAAAGTCACAGGTATCCTTCTCAGAAAAAGTGGGCTTAATCTGTCCTCCCAGGGGAGCCCATTGTTTTTTGTTCTTTTGTTTTTTTTAATTGAGGGGACACAAGTTCTTTGACTTAAAAAGAAATGGTAAGAAGTGTGTAAGAGATTGAGATGGGAAGAGTTAGTTGACTTCTACTTGTCTTTCCAGTTGGGATCAATGTCTTCGCCATGTTTAATGCCAGGAAGAGGAAGCTCCACAAGCATGATTCTATATGGAAATGTGTGCACTTTCCTCATTTCTTTCCAAATCTATCTATGTCTTTACTTACACTCAACTCCAAGAGGCTGAATCTTTTTAGGAAAGACAAAAAGAAATCTTACTAAAAGGTAAAACAACCTTAACTGAAATCCTTTTGAGAGTTTGGACAAGGTCTAAAAAAAACCGCAGAATGAAATCTAACTTTGGCTAAATTTCCAGACTCTACCAGATCACTTTTTTTTTACATAAACAATATACAGGTATATAATAATAACTATTATACATATGATGGTTATGCATAATAATACATACAAAGTCTTCCAACACAGAAGTAAGTCATCATACACGATCTCTCTTAACTTGGCCAGGAGAGAAGAATATGCTACACAGACCATGATTACTCATAGTCTGGGATGATAAAAGGAAAAGATGATAACGTACAAACATAGAGTGAGAGATCATACGTAAACATCTTATGTCTATCTCCAAATGTCTTACTATGAAGATTCGTGAAGAACAGTCATCATATCTTTGCCCCACAAATGTTCTAATGTAGATGTATGGTAGGTATTCCATAAAACTTTCCTAAGTGGATGAAAGAAATGGCTTTTTGAAACCAGAATGAATCCAGTAGAATTAAATGTAATATTAATGTTATAAGCAAACAATATATTAATAGAGTGGAGTGAAAAAGTAGCAGAAATAAATTGCTCAACAAACATTATCAAGCACTTTCTGGGTCTCATCTGGTACCAATTAAAAGATAGCCCCTCTCCAAATCTCTTGACATTTTTTACCCAGATTGCTTTATACTGATTGTTGTTCTGAAAAATGGTCCTGGTTTTTCCTGGCCTGTTGACCCCAACTCTGTTGACTGTGTGCCCCAGGACTTCAGTGAGCAAACTGTCCTACTATTTGCCGATGATTCTGCTTCCTGTTAGAGCTAAAGACCTTCCCTGACGGTCCTGCTTTCCTGAAGCCCCAGCATGAAAGTTGTTCACCTACCATTGGGGCTGGGGATGGTGGCTCCCCAAAACATCACACTTTCGGCCACAGGAGAAAGCTCACTCTTGTCTGAGTTGATGCCCCAGAGCTATCGCCTCTTCCCCCTTCTTCCTCAATGGCAGTTCTGTGTGCCAGGGGTTCAAGCTCTCTAAGGGGAAGGACAGGTGATGAAGTTGAAATGTAGAGCGAGGTCATCTCATTAAGGGCCATACATGCCAGGCGAAGGAAGAATAATTTTACACTGGAGATACTGGGTTATTACTCCGGGTAATTTTAGATTCATATCTCTTTCAGTAGAAGGATAGTAAATAATCCTGCAGAAAAATAATTCTGGCAAAACTACGGGGAACGTGGCGTGGGGAGAGAAAACTAGTTACAGTGTCATTGCTGAAGGCTAAGTGAAGGACCTGAC